TGACAGCTGCCTTCACTGTTGGAATTTGGGATCCACTTCCATTTCCATCTCTGCCTCAAACTGATCAGAGGGGCTTTTCCCAAGGATGGAAAAGTGGTCAAAATGGTCCCTTCCAAAAGTTGTGATATACTTGAAAAGCGTTCTGTCGGGTGGCAAGAAAATAAAGGTGAATGAAACCCATTCACCTTTCATCTTGATGGTTGGGATGTGCAGGTTGAGGCACGAAAGTGGTCAGTTGTGGCTGCTCTAAGGGGCTAGGGACAACTCTCCAGCTTCCCACTTAGTGAGGTGAGCACTTGTTCCAGTCTTTCAGTGACAGCACCAAGGCTGTGAGAAATGTGGGGGCATTGCAGCCTGCCTTATAAATTCAGGATACTGCCCAGGCAAAGGAGGCCTGAGAAACCATTTAACCCACTGAGGCTACAAAAGTGAAGTGGTCTGCCGAAGGTCACAGAGCAAGTCCATGGTACAGCCTACAGTTCAGGTTTTCGGATTTGTTGCCACATGAACTGACTTGCCCCCTCCCCCTCACCAGTGGGTCTGTTCCTAGTTAGCTTTTATCTCATGTGTGGGTCCTTTGGCAACTCCAAGGCTTTGGCTCATTCCGCACAACACAGAGTTGGATTCTTTAGAAGTGCTGGGAACATAGCTGTCAGAAGCCTGGGCAGAGACAGCCAGTGGGCCCGAACAGCTGCCACAATGCTTGCAGTTTTCCACAATGAGCTAGAACTGATCATTAGGAATGCACAGAAGCACACTTTTAAGAAACAGGACAAGTAAAAGTGCAATTCTGCATCCCTTTATTTATAAACAAATTGGGAATGTTCCATTTGAGAGCAGGAGTGGGATCAGAGAGGGGAGGGGGCTGATTCCAGTAGTTTGCATTATTCAGCACCAGAGCAAATGCTTGGGTATAAGGTCGTGCTTTAACCCAGACATATCAGTGTATTCTCGTCTTATATGTACAGCATATCCTTATGGATGTATGCACTTTTTATGGCTTTGTCCCTGGACACACGGCAGTCTCATAACAAAACATCTCAAGTCTAGAGAGTATCTAAGCTGCAAATGCCTCAGAAGCTAACTCTTCTTCCCAAATCTGACAGCCAAGTCTAGTGCCTGAGAAATAGGAACATCTCAGCTAGACACGAGATCATCCAATTTAGCTAAGCCAGTGACACCATCTTAAATCTCCCCCTGGGATATGACTGGGTGCTAAAATAGGTCCTGAAGATGGAAAGAAACTAACCCTGTGCTCCTCCCTCAAAGGATGGAATCACAGTAATTAGTAGCCTAAGGCATGGAGCAAGAGTTGACTCTCCCAGTCCTATCCCTTCCACCCAGAGCAAGTCAGAAGTCAGACTCGTGTCTTGCTCCTCTTGAGGTTGGCTTTCCTTGGCCAGTGTAAGGTCCCAGCACACAAGAGCAGGGCTTGCCAGGAACAGGGTATTCAATATGACTATAAAATTTCAGTATCACCCATGTTTCTTAGCTGAAGAGGGGCGTACACTTTATTTCAGTCACCCACCCACCCACCCACCCAAAGGAGTATGTGGCAGTTGACGTGCTGAAATAAGGAAGCTAGGGTAATCCACATCTTGCATCTCTACTCACTAGCCTTGAGTATATAAGATGGGAATGCTTCTTTAATTAGTGCTGCATGCTGTACTTAAAAAGCAGCAGAAAATAGTTACTCACCTACTGTCCCATTTTCTCCCATGTTTATTACCTGCTGTCCTCTAGCTCTCCTCAGTCTGAAGCTTCCTTTCCAAGGAAAAATAAACTCTTTCCTTGCTTTTTTTCATTTCCGTTTACCTCTCCAAGCTTGGATCATAGTTTCTATATCTCCTATTCCAGTTTTCAGTAACTCTGAACCATTATAATTGATTGGCCAACCCAAAGCATAATCCCATCTCCTTCTGGAAGTGGAGTTAAGGGTGGGGGTGCTAGAGGCTTGGAGAAACTGGAAGTTGACTAAGAAGTAATAAAAGTTGGGTTGGAGAATTCCCCCATTCCTTTTCAGTAGACTTTTAGCCTTGTGAGAGTGGGGAAGTATTGTTGGAGGTTGGAAGTAGACTCAGGGTGAGATTATTTTGGCCCATCCCTGGAATATCCCAGGCATTGGTCAGTTCCCATAATTGGCAGCACTAAATCTGATGAATCATACCTGTCAGTATAGTGTGTAAGGCCTGCAAATATTTAATCAGCCTGATATATCAACTGTATCTATTGGCTCCAGAGAAAGTGTCAGGTAAAAGTGTATCTATCTGCCCTGGGCCATGGAGTAAAGTCATAAAAGGCCTCCCCAAGACCCAAGAAAGAGTTTCATTTACAAAGCGAGGTCCTGAAGTGGGTTCAGAGAGCAGATTTTCTTTAACTCCCTTTCCTCTCTCTAGGTCACTCTCGTCTCCATTTCTCTTCCGTTGTTCACACCTTCTCCTGCCCTACTGGTTGCCTCATCATTTTACTGCAACAAGTATAAGTCAACTGAAATAGGAAGCATTTGTGCCCATTCATTCTGGGTACATGAAGGAAGACAGAGACCAAATGGGCACAATGGAAGGATGCGATTCTCGCATTCTCTGCAGAGCAACGTTCTAGGCCTTGACTGCAAACCAAGTTTCTTCTCACAGTCCATGTTCCTGCCAGTCCTCTGTCCTGCTGCACAGGTGTTATACAGACTTCTGGGAAAAGTGCCAGGAATAAGCGGGTTAACAAGCCAGTTTAGCCTCATAGTTTTGCTTTCCAACAAACACCAGTCATCTTCAGGAGGACAGGGAGGTAGTTCAACCCCAACGCAAGGGGAAAAAACACGCCACCTTCCTTCACTGATTGCTCCTCTTGTCACCTAGATGGTTGGTTCCCAAGGCCTCTGAAAAGGGATGAAGGAATGCCTACAAGTTGCTGACTCAGGCCTTTGCTCAGCCAGGCCCCAGTTAAGTCTCTGGCTTTAATGGAATAACTAGGTAATGTCTATTTCTACCCAAGTGATGCTAAACCTTGACTCACATGAAAAACATTCTCATTTCTTACATGTAATAAAGGAGTAATAACTTTAAAAAAAAACACCTAAAAATCTCAGCAGGAAAGCTTAAGAGTCTTCATCCCATTTGGCAATGCTACCTAAAAACCAAAGTCACCACCATCAAGTCCATTGTGACTCATGGTGGCCCTATAGGACAGACAGCACAGGACTGCCCCATAGGGCTTCCAAGGCTGTCCATCATCCTCCTTTCTCCCGTGGAGCAGCTGGTGGGTTTGAACTTCAAACCTTTTGGTTAGCAGCTCAATGTTTAATCCACTGCACCACCAGGGATTCTTCACAATACTACCAAGACCACTCAAATGCTGAGCTCATAACTGAGGTTTTTCACAGTTCTGTGTAAAATGCTTCAAAGCCTCCCTTCACCCACAAGTGTTATGGGGAACCCACAAGAACAATATAGTCATGTTCTAGTTGGGACAAAGCATTCTATGGGAAACCAGGATGAGCTTTTTGCAGAGTGTCCAAGTCTACAAGGGAACCAAGGGTTTCAGCCAGGGATTAAGGTAGAGAGCAAGAGTGGGGTAGACTGTAAAATGCCATCACCATATCTTGATATTGCATATACGTGCAGGTAGCACCCCCTATGATATACTATGCGATTTGGCATGTCAAACTGTTATTTGAGGTCTATAAAACTGTTAAGTGCTCAGAAATGGGAAAAGCCGTCCCATAGTAACATTCTTTAAGGAGTAGCTTCAGAAGCTATTAACCATCAGCCAAACTAGGAGCCAAAGCAAATCAGCTCCTGTTTTTAAATATATATATTTAAGATGGAGTTCTGGTGTGGTGCTGTAGGATAAGCACTGCAACATGGTTTAAACTGCAAGATTGGTGGTTCAAACTCACTAGCTGCTCCTCAGAAACTCTATAAGGAGACCCTGCATGAGTCAGAACCAACTTGACAGCACTTAATAGCAATATATATATATATACATATATATACATATAT